TTTTTTTTGTCGCCCCCCCCCCCCCCCCCCCCCATAACACAGACAAGCACACATGTGCACCTTTTTATGTCTTGATTTCAAGCGTAACTCTTTAACTTTCAAAGCTTCATTTGTATACAAACATGAGCTTATGGATATGTGATACATCCTTGTTGAATTTGGTAAAAACATTTTCAAAGTCTTTATAAAGAAGACTTCGGCGTTCATTGCAATAATTTAAATGACACTCGTCCAATGCATTTGTACTTGTATCAGGTGTAATTTCTATATTTTGCAGATCTTTAGAGGTAAATATTGAAGAGAAAAATTAACTCCCTTTAGAAATATTTAGATATACTGAATCAATTGTATACTTGTAGCCAGTGCTTTTCTGCTTCTAACTTTTTTCAGCAAAACCAAGCACTGATTTTTACTTTTGCAGAGAAATCAAGCATGGTTTTGATTGTCATCATCCCCTTACATAAAAACACTTATGGTTGGGCTATGTTGCTTGTCCTATAGGAATGGGCATCCGAGCATTGTTCAGCACCTTTCCGAGCTCCTGAGTTGTGGGACTGTCCAAGCCAGGCAGATATTGATGAGAGAACTGATATTTGGTCGTTAGGATGCACCTTATATGCAATAATGTGAGAATTTTATCCTTTTGTTTTTCCATGTTCATATTTGATTTTTACTTTCGGTATTCTTTCTTCCTTTCACGATTTTTTATTTTTGGTCATAAAAAAATTAACACTAAAGCATCATGTGGAAGCCCTTTGGCACTATCATCTTGCCTATAACAGATTATCAGATTATACTCACCAATTGTGCTTGTAACTTGTGTGATTTATACATCTGAATTGGGTATATTCAGTAGGAGTTTGTTACCACTCACTTCAACTATGTAGAAATCAACTATTTTAGTTCTATGTTTGGCTTTTGTTTCACTCTACTATTAGCATCTAATTCTGCATAATTTTTATTACATAAGTTACGAATGAAGATTGTCAGCTCGAATACTTGGTTATGAGTCACGACTTTGTTCTCCTGAGTACATGCTTAAAACGTGTGTGCCTGTGTGCGTGTGTGATATACCAAGGTTTTTTCTTATTCATTCAAGAAGATTTGTTCATGGTACGATATGCACATACATTTATGCACTTACATGATTCTAAATGTAAAAAATCTGAGGGATGATTAGACTTTACTCATGGCTCATATCTGCAGGTATGGAGTATCTCCATTTGAGTATGCCCTTGGCGAATCTGGAGGAAGCCTACAATTGGCCATTATCAATGCCCAGGTGAAGTGGCCGGCAACCGGACCTAATCCTCCATATCCAGAAGCTCTTCACCAGTTTGTGACATGGATGCTTCAACCTCAGGCTGCAGTTCGCCCTCGTATCAATGATATCATAATCCATGTCGATAAGTTGATCTCAAAGTACTCTCATTGAGATTAATATACAACCAAACAAAGAACAGCTCAGTAATATCACTGTTCATGTCTTCACGTCCTATGTTGGAGCAGAGTTATCAAAAGAGTCATTTTGCATTGCTTTTGTACCTTATAAAGTGAAATAGGAAAATTGAAGTAATAGCAGTTGTTTCTCCAATGTTCGTCAAATCTTTGGAGTAGTTTTGGCAGTTCTGAGTTGATTAATGTTGATGTAATGATGTTTAATCTCAGCAACTTGATTTGGTTCTTGTAATTTATGAATAGTGCCACACCTTTCCTAGGTTTGATCGATTCGATTGAATAGTTAAAACAGAATAATTGTGATGTCAAACAATATGGAAAAATCTTTAATTCTTATACAAAGAGCTTTGTAAAGTTGGTATTTCATGAGCATTTCTTATGAAGTTGTCACATAGAAAAATTGCGTATCGCACTTGAACACGCGGAAACAATCAAGGATTTAGCTCATCTCTCTTGGAAAAGGAACAAAGGCAGGCATTGTAGAGCTCATCCAAGGATCAAAAGCCAACACACTGCGTCAAAATAATGAAATTTTACTCTCCAAGCGTATTGTATTTGTCCATCTTTTATGGTCAATCTTCATGTTCTTCTTCACCTTCTGAATCTGCAATGCAAAGAAGCCGTAACATAGCTGATGATGTTAGATATGTTTTCCAAATAAGGTTTCTTTCGGGGACAATTCTATATTTCTATGGCAGGGTATTAAAAATCCCCAACTGGTAAGACACAGTTTGAAACATTAAATCACATTAAAATTGTAGACTAATAGCCAGTTTTGACTTTCCTAGTTTATAGGGATTTAGTTGTTATTAGTTTCCTGTTTCTGTTATAAAAAATAAGGAAAGTTATTTTCCTCATATCTCTCTTAATGGGAGATTTTATTCCCTGATTGATGGGGATTTTACTGTTTAAGTTTGTTTCCTTTTTTGTGGAGATGCAGATTTGTTACCAAGCTTCTCTATAAAAAGGGTTTGTATTCACTGATGAAATAATAAGAAAGAATGCCTAATTCCTCAATTCCACATGGTATCAGAGCCATAATTTAGCTTCTTGGAAAATTTCAAGGTTCGTTGCTGATTTTTTGAGCATCTTCCACCTTTTTTTTTCTCTCTACTTATCTCTATAATCCAATGGCAAGCAGGCCGCCAACCTTTCCTTGGGGAACAGCTATGACCGGAGCAAAGGGAGACGCTCACACGGAGACACCAAGTCCACCACAGCCGAGTGCATCAAAGCCAAGTGCATCAACTGGAGTGAATCTCTCCACAACATATGCGGACAATTACTCTCTCCAAATCACTTCTCACAAACTCAAAGGGAAGAATTACTTACCTTGGTCAAGTTCGGTAGAGATGGTGATCAGGGGAAAGAGAAGATATGGATACCTCAATAATCTGCCAAGCGACCGTCAGAAACTGGCCCTAATTTTCAGACTTGGGATGCTCAAAATTCAATGGTGATGGCCTGGTTAATCAACTCCATGGATGATAGAATCAGTGAAAGCTTTATGTGCTACTCAACAGCCAAGCAGATGTGGGAAGCAGCCAAACGTCAATATTCAGACCTGGAGAACTCATCACAGCTGTTTGAACTACGCAATAAGACTCAGAATCTCACCCAAGGAGAGATGGATGTTACAACATATTTCAATGCCCTAACTAAATTGTGGCAGGAAGTTGATTTATTCCATAACGGTCATTGGTTTTGTGCAGGTTGCGTTGAGAATTACCAGAAAATGGTAAACAAAGAACGTATTTATGATTTTCTTTCAGCTCTCAATAAGGATCTTGATGAAATACGTGGAAGGTTACTTGGTTCAAAACCACTGCCGAGTATTGAGGACATCTTTGCTGAAGTCTTAAGGGAAGAAACCAGAAAATGTGTCATGCTGGGAACTGAAAAGAATGTGGCCGAAAATTCTGCCTTCTCAGTCCGAGGTGCTGAATGCGCTCGAGGAGAAAACAAAAGCCAAAAGAAGAATGGAAACCTGTGGTGTGATCACTGTCAGAAATCAAACCACAGTTGGGACAGGTGCTGGAAATTGCATGGAAAACCTGACAATTGGAAAAACAAAAAGGATTCAAAGGGCCTCCAAATCACTACTGAAAATGCATCACGGACTAGAGACAACATCTTTCAATTTCTATGTTAGCAGGGAACTGCTAACAGCTTGAGAAACTACAGAAGCTTCTAAACTCTCAATTATCCAACCAAAGTCCGTCCAACACTCAAGGTCACCAAACACAATCAATCCCGAGTACTTCCCTTTTGGCTCAAAAAGGTACTTTTCTGACTGCTTTGAGTGGTACAGAAATAATGGAATTGTGGGTGAGACTCTGGGGCTACGGGTGTGCAAGTCTGTTTTCTTCTTATATTGTCCAGGGAATTTGAAAATTAAGATTGCAAATGGTTTTTTTGCAACAGTGGCTGGTACTGATAACATCATTATTGGCCCACAAATATCCCACAAAAATGCTCTTCACATTCCAAAGTTATCCTGCAATTTACTGTCAGTAAGATTACCAAAGATTTAAATGGTACTGCTCAGTTCTCACACTCTATTTGTAACTTTCTGGATATGACTTCGGGCATGAGGATTGGCAGTGCTAAGAAACACAATGGTCTCTACTACTTCGAGGAAGAAGACTCCATCAATAAACAAGCTTTGACTACCGATTGTAAATTTATCTTCTTTTCTAGAGAAAATCAAATAATGTTACGACACTCTAGGTTAGGCCATCCTAGTTTTCAATATATCAAACACTTGTTTCCATTACTTTTTGAGAATAAAGATGTTTTTCAGTGTGATATTTGCCAAATTGCTAAACACCAAAGATCATTTTTTCCTCATCCAAACCTTTTGCATTAATCCATAGTGACATATGGGGACCATCCCGGGTATCAAATATAAGTGGAAAAAAATAGTTTATCACCTTTATTGATGATCACACACGTCTCACCTGGGTATACCTTCTCAAAGAAAAAAAATGAGGTTGCCCAAACCTACAAGAATTTCCATATGATGGTAAACAATCAGTACAATGAAAAGATACAAATTGTACGTACTGATAATGGGCGAGAATACTTTAATTTCATCCTAGGGGAGTATTTCTTGAAAAATGGTATTATTCACCAAAGTCCGTGTGTTGATACACCACAGCAAAATGGAGTGGCTGAGAGAAAAAATAGGCACCTTTTGGAAGTAGCCCGCTCTATCAGACTCGCAAATAATGTTCCTAAATGTTTTTGGGGTGATTCTATTCTAAGGTGCTTCACTACAAAGTCCCTCATCAGTTCCTTATTCAACACTACCCACAAACAAGGTTAGTAAGCTCCTTACCCCTTAAGGTGTTTGGTTGTAAGTCCTTTGTTCATGTGCATAACCATAACCGAAGTAAGCTAGATCCTCAGGCTATTCCTCGTATTTTTCTTGGTTATTCATCCACTCATAAAGGGTATAGATGTAATTCCCCAGAAAAACATAAGTACTATGTCAATATGGATGTCATTCTTTGAAAATCAGTCTTTCTATCCCAAAACTTCACTTCAGGGAAGCGCTTCTTTGGGAAGAAGAACCCTTACCTAGCCCTGTATTGCATCTTCATGATAACCCGGATCCATCACCAACCGATCAAGAGCATTTTGATCTAGCTGCAATTACCTCAACCAATCCACCCTCAACAAGTTTGCACCAACTACAACCGAACCTGACCTTGAGACTGCCCTAAATATTGATGACTCTAGAACAGGGGGGGATTTACAACAACAACCGGAGCTGCGTTTTTATTCTCGGAGAAAGGTTCCATGAGAAGTAGAGAACATTGTGGATCCAAAGAATTGTCATGAATCAAAACCGCTTTCATCTTCTGAGGTTAGTGATCTTGACCTGCCTATTTGCTTTGAGAAAAAAAAACTCGTTCTTGCACACGACATCCCATTTCCAATTATGTTTCGTACAATCACCTCTCACCATTCTTTCAAGCTTTTGTTGCTAATCTGGCAGAAGAACAAATCCCAAAAAATATACAGGAAGCTTTGAGTATTCCTGAATAGAGAAAGGCAGTGACTGAGGAGATACAAGCTCTTGAGAAAAACTGGACATGGGAACTTGTGAAAAAAAAACCAAAGGGAAAACTTCAGTTGGGTGTAAGTGGGTGTTCGCCATCAAATACAAATCTAATGGGACAGTTGAAAGGTATAAGGCTAGACTTGTTGCTAAAGGCTTCACCCAGACATATGTCATTGACTACACAGAGACATTTGCTCATGTTGCCAAACTCAATACTGTCAAAGTACTTCTATCTATTGCAGCCAACCTGGATTGGGATCTACAGCAACTAGATGTAAAAAATGCATTCCTCAACGGTGACTTGGAGAAAAAGTATACATGGATCTTCCACCAGGACTCGACAAGGATAGCAAGAATGGAATGGTTTGCAGACTAAAGAAGGCACTCTATGGACTGAAGCAGTCTCCGAGAGCTTGGTTTGGAAGGTTTACTAAGGCAATTGTTCAACAAGGGTATAAGCAGGCTCAAACTGATCATACACTACTTTTTTGGGCCTGTTTGTTTTCGTTTTTGAAAACTTTTTTCACGTTTTCCGAGGATAAAAAATTAAAACGGGCAGAAAGAACGTGTTTGGTGCTACAATTTATCAAAATTGAAAACAAAAACGTTTTTTGTATTTTCCCAAAAATCTATCACGTTTCTGAAAACGACTTAAACTCGTTTTCGTTTTCTCCGTTTTCATTTTCTCTCTTCTCTGAAATTTTTTTCTACCCTTCACCGGTGTACTCTTCAGGTCCGATATGCTCCGTTTGCTTCTCGCCCGAACTCCTCCGTTCTCTTCTCGCCCGATCTGTGTCGTTTGCTTCTCGCCCGAGCTCCTCCGTTCTCTTCTCGCCCGAGCTCCTCTGTTCTCTTCTCACCCGATCTGCTCCGTTCTCGTCTCGCCCTCTTCTTCGATCTCTGATTCTCTGCGCAGCCCCTACTCCTCCAAATCAACCGACTCTTCGCCGCCCCAACTCCCCCAAATCAACCGAGGTATGCCCCTAATCTGGTTATTGTCATTTTAAGTAGGTATTTTTTCTGATTTGCTGATGATTTGTTGAGCATTGCCGATTGGGTGGTTTTTAGAGGTTCAAGATGTATGCCGAGACATCTGGGTTGGTTGGAGTATTGTTGATGGTTTTTAGTGGTTTTTAGAGGTTCTGATATGCTAAGTTTAGGCTGTATGCCGTGTTTCTTTTTTCTTTTTTTTTTACTTTTGTTGATATGTGTGTGTTATGGGTTTTATGTGTGATGTGTTTTTTTTCCTAACAAAGTTCGTTTTCCAAGTTTAACAAGCCAATCTAGAGAAAGAAAGAAAGGAAGGAAGAAAGAAAGAAAGAAAGAAAATTATTAGAATCAACAGCAAGAATTGAGGGAGATGCAAATAATCGTTGTTTTCTCCAACAAAATAATTACAAAGTTTAATCCATACAAATAAGATTTTTATGTAATGCAAGTAATTACAAAGTTTAATCCAACAAAGTAATCACAAAGTTTAATCCACGCAAATAAGATGCAAATAATCGATGCAAGAACTGGGTTTTATGTAATGC